TCACTGCTGCATTCTAGGCGTAGAGCAGAGCACTGTTTCTACTTTTGCAGAGCCAACATTGAAGGCCTCCTGCCAAAGGCTATCAGAGCCTTCGTCATGCTTGTTCATACCTTTGAGTCCTTGGTGATTTCCCCTTCTTGGGTTTTTTTTATTTGTAAGAGAAAAAATGGAGCATGGTGAATTTTCTACTTCTGTGTTATTGTGAAGTACTGGGCTGAATCAGCTGTGCTCTGCTTGAAACTGCCACCCCTGCCTACCACACTGTGAACCCAGGAATTCCTATGAAAGTCACCTCTTGGGAGTGTGGTTCTTAGCTAGGATGCACAGTGTAGTTATCTCCTAGCTTTGTTGTAAGACGACAGATGTCTGTGCCCAGCTCAAAACCAACTGAATCAGAAGCTCCCACAGTGAGATTTCAGTCATGTGTGCTGTTAATAGTCTCTCCTAAAAACTGTCACTTGAGGGCAATTTTCAAAATACCTGACCCTGAAACAGCAGCATCGCCTGGACACTAGTTAGAAATGCAAATTCTCAGCTTCCACCCTAACCTCCCCAATCTGAAAGTCTGGAGACCAGGTCCAGGCTGGAGCCTGGTTTCACAAGCCTTTTCGGTCATTCTGATGCCCCTGAAAATTAAGAAACTCTGCCTTACGGCATCTCTTTGGGTCTTGCTGTCTAACAGAAAATGCTTTTTCTTTAGTTTGGAAAAAGTGCCTACATGAGTATCACCAGATAACTTTCTAGCTTGTGGCTCAGACCTGACCTTTCCTGCTGTGCCTCTGCTGACACGCTCGGTCAGTGACCCTGTGTGCGGCTCTCTGCTCTCGCCCTGCAGTCGCTGGGGTATTCGCCCCCTCCTCGCCCAGGCAGGCACATCCCACGTGGGATTTGCTCCCTTCTGAAGCTCCCCTTTTTACTTCTTCCAGTAGAAAATAAGCAGTCTTTGCGTTATTTTGGTCACTTTTAGGGCTTTTTTTTGTTGTTCTCTTTTCCTACCATTTTTTGTCCACCCTGAGCCAATAACTTCTCTGTTTTTTCACCTGTAAGACAGGAGTAGTAGTGCCTTCATCACTGAGTGAGTTAATGCTTGTTAAAATGCTTGGAATAATACCCAGCAAGTGTCAACTCTAAAGTAATTAGTATTTACAACATTAAAGCATGGGTGTATATTTCTCCAGGAGTGGCACATCAATGAGCAATAAATGTCAGCTTTCTTCCATTATGGAGACTAAAAGGTTTTCAATTTTTAGAGTTGTTTTCTCATTATTATTTTGTATTTTTCTTTGTCTTTCCATTAGTTTTAAAGCTCATTCACAACAAACAATTTTTCCTCCTCAGCTCTGAATCTGCATCTCCCAAAGTACCTAATTGATACTCAGGAAATGCTTGTGGAATTCCACTGCTCCCAGCAGGCAGTATAGACCACGAAGCTCCCCAGGAACAAGCCTTCCTGAGCAGCTTCTCCTCTCCCACTCCTTCAGGGTAGGGCCTTCAGCCCCTGGCTTCTTGCTATCTATTTTTAATTATATTTTTAAAAACAGATCTCCCAGCCATTTTGACTCCTTCTCAAATAGTTGAAATTCCCTTTCAATGCAGTATTGTCTTAGGGTAGTCGTGGGTGGGAAAATGGGGAAATGGTACGAGGTGACCAGAGGAGGGAGGGTGGTCTTCTCATTACTAAATGTAAGTGGGTTTCAGCTTCAGGCTTTATAAATAGAGATGTTGGTTGTGCGCCCTTCCCAGATTGGGCAGGTTCTTTGTGGATTCAGACAGACCAAAAAAGAATGGCAGTGCCTTGGTATTTCTGCCATGCCCTTAATGCTGAATTGGGGGCTGGACCAGAGGCAGACGAGCAGTCAGGGAGACAGGCAAGCAGCAATTGAGATCCCCAAAAATCTTCCCTTCATCCCCCCACCTGGGCCCAGGTGTCTGCATTTACATATGTGCATGGCCCACCCCCAACCCAAGAGTCCTTTATCAAAGGCATGAGCACTGTGCCACGCTCCCAAGCGCTCTTTGCAGTGTATTTCATGCAGGCGGTGCCACCGGAAGGAACGCAAAGCCACAGGTGGCAGCTGTAGGGACTGGCAGCAGGAGGCAAAAATTAGCTTGAGCAGCTCCATGTTCCCTGCAGTGGCACAGCAGTTGAGAATCCTGAGTGCCTGGGATGTCTAAAAGCAGCGGTGTTTCTAGGCCTGCAGCAGACAGAAGGTGGACTGTGGCCTCCACAGTGCATGGTCACATTGCGCTTGAGTTCCCACTTCGGCTCTTGGCAGATTTCTTTTTGAAATAAGTTGATGTGTGCCATTTTTCATTCCTGGATTATTGAAAGCCTATGCAATTTTTCAATTTCAAGTCAGTTTTTTATAGCTATTTTCTTAATCTTTTACATTTTTGTTACCATTTTTGAAGCTTTCTAGAAGTCAGTGGTATCCACTGAGATGATGAGTGTAAGCCGTGCCTTATAAACTGTAAAAGCCACTCTCTCTCATAAACCACACCAGAATAAATTCATGAACTTTTAGGGCAGAATTCTCGGTCAAGGTTTATCAGATAAATGCTGTGTCTACTATCTATTTGGGTAAGACACATGATGAGGTCTTTCTTGATGTTCTTGTAAATAAAGTTCTGTGGACATAATGATAAAGTTTGGGCGATTCATAGCTCAGGAATGATTAGACCTAAGGAAACTGGTTAAGGGATTGGTGAGAGCCTGGAGTGGAGCTGGGGGCAGGAGGGGACAGGACGCTGACTGCCAACTCCCTCTGTCCTCCACAGTGACCTTGTCCACATTTTGAGTACTTACTTCATTGTGTGCATTTATGGCATGCTTGAAGCTTTTCCAACTTCTTTTGAATGATAAATATGGTGTGTGAAGAAGTAGGGGGCTGTCCTAGGAGGTACCCCAAGAATCCTTCCCCCAAGCCAGGTACCTAGTTCTGCCAACCTTATACCTTTAGTTCCTCTCTAACCCATTGTCTCTCTATTCTTCCCTTACTCTAGCCCTCTCTATGGCACTAATCTTTTTATTTTTTAACATATATTTATTCATGCATACAGAATGGGGGTACAGGCCAGAGGTGCAGGAACAGTGAGAGGATTCACAAGAGACAGAGTAGGGAGCAGAACAGGCAGACTGATAAGGAACACTGTGAAGGGGAGCAGCAGGCGAGACAGGAGAGGGCTGCTGAGCCATGTGGGTCACCTCCGGGGCTGGGGAAGAAACTCACACTGAAGTGGCTGTGGCTGGCTTACAGTGTGCAGCACTAATCTTTTAACTGATCTTCCTGCCCCAAGTACTGTCCTCTCAACAATAAGAACACTTCAGGGCACATGTTCACCTGACCCTGCTGCTGAAAATAGCCCCTCCATGGCATCCCTTGCTTAGAGAAGAATGTTGCAGCCTGTGTAAGACTCTCCACGTCCTGACCACTTTACTTCCATTAGCTCACTTCCTGCTTGTCCCCACCTTGAATTCTGTGCTCTAGTGACACCACACTGCCTGCCATTCCCCACGTGGCCTATTCTGTTTCATGCCTTTGATCCTTTGCTCTGGCTTTGGTGATTCCAAAACATTTTCCCCTCTCCCATTTCCTCCACTTGACCTCAAACAAAATTATTTTATTTGGAAACAAATAGCAGAAAAAGAGGCAGATTGGACCATGCATTCCTGGTGAGACCCATGTGCACTTCCCTGAATCACAGGCTATCACCCCCTAAAAAAATCCTCTCAAGACTTGACTTCATTCCCAGTTCTGCAGGAGGAGGAAACAGCATTCGTTCCTGGGGAAATGAGATGCAAAGCATAATTTGGAGTTTTTACCCAAGCACAGACACTCTGGTCATCTCCCAACCTCAAATAGGATTTTTGTGCTTTAATATTCACACTCACTGCACCACTGTCTTAGAATCCCCTAGTCACTCATGTCTCGCTCTCAAACTAGGCCATAATCTCCTTAAGGACAGTATTCTTCTAACGCACCCAGCACATAGGTCGACAATAAGTGTTTTAATCAGGACCACGATTACAAGAAGATCTCAGCAATCTAAAAGGCAGACCATAAAACTTAACAGGAGATAAAATTTTTAACAGGGATCTACTTGGGCTTACAATAAACAGGCGAACAAAGAAAAACAAGTCTCATTTTCAAGAGCTGTGTGTGTACACGATGGGAGAAAGATGACTCAATACCATCGATAGGCCATGTGGAAAAAGAAAGGCGGTGGTTTCAGTTGACTGTGCTCCGCATGAGTCAACAGTGTGATGCAACACCAGTAACCTGGTGTCAGGTCAGGGAAAGGAGCGGTCCTGCTGGCCCAGTGCAGGAGAGTCGTGTTCCTGTCGGGGCTCACACCTCAGAGGGGTGAAACAGCTGGAGTGGGGAGCCAAGGTGAACCCTGCCATAGGAGAATATTTGAAGGAAGTAGGACATGGAGGACCGGAGCCACAGCCACACTATTCAAAGGCTAAAGGGCTCCTGAGGAGCCTCCCAAGAGGAACAGTGAACAGAAACTAAATAGAATTTTGGACGGGCTCTGTAACAGTGGGAGGATGTGTCTTGTGAATGCCCCATCCCTGGCAGGTGCTACCCAGAGCCTCAGAGAGAAGATGCCCTAGAGGGGGTCTGAGCCCCTGAAGGAAAGTTTGTACGAGATGTCTCTATATCTGGGTCAGCTGTGAGGCCTGGTGGCGCAAGAGTTCACTGAGCTCATGTTTCCTGATCACTGGGGAGGGATGCCAGGAACACAGCTTCAGATAAGGGTGCCTATGAATCTCCCCCAGGGCAAAAATTGGGAATTACCAAAATAGAAATTACTCCTAGGCCAGAAGCCTGAGCCTTAGTGTGTTCGTCATTTACTGTATCGTTGGTGTAACAATACAGGAGTGCCACCTGGGCGTGCCACCCATACTTCCAAGGCCTTGTCTTCTCCGCATAGTACAGCGCCTTTCTGTAGGACCCTGAAGAGTAATTAGTTACCTCTTTCCCTTTGCTTTTTAGTTCTGGAGTGTCATGGCTTCTGGGAGGAAGCCAAAAGGATCGTCTCAGAATCAGAGCTGATCACGGGATTCCCCTATACGTTCATGGTGCCAGGCTTGCCCCAGTACCTCCAGAGCCTCACCAAACTAGCCATTGCTTCTGTGTGGGCAGTGGCAGCTCAAGCTGGAGACCAGACTGTGGACGCTCCCATCTCCTTCCTTCAGCTGTTGGAGTCTTCCTTCCCAGAAGTGCGTCTTCTGACTTTGGAGGCCCTGTGGGAAAAGTTCTCAGTGGCCGCCTCTGGCCTAGGAGAGAAGGGGCTGCCGCCCTTGCTGTGGAACATGGAAAAGACGTTCTTGGTGTTGGCCATGAAGGAAAATCACTCTGAATGCTTCTGCAAGGTAAAGTCTCTGGGCTTTCTGTTGACTTTCCCCCTCTCTCTCCCCACATTCCCGGGCGAGCCCACCAGAATTATACCGTTGTGAAGACAGAATTGGCTTTGGGTTCTCCAGGAGTAACAAGAGACTCAGCATCCGGAGGGCAAAGACGCTGTGTATGGCACTTGGCATGGCTTCCTGAATGGGGGCACTAGGAGAGGGTTTCATGTGACTGGGATTAACCAGAGTCTGAGAGTGAGCCACTCTGTGCTCTAGGGACAGCCCTGGAAATGGGCTATGTAATGTGCTAGAAGGTATTCTTTGCTGATGTGGCTATTTGGAACCTAATGGCCACTTGGACGGTATGATCTAAAGGAAAGAGCGCTGACTCAGGAATCTGGGCATCGAGACTCCATCCCGGGTCACTAGAAGCCCTTGGTTATGTCACTGTGTCACTGCTCCACCCTGCTTTGCTCTTCTGAAGGTATCAAGAGGAAATAAGAGGTCAGTGGGAGCTCTCTGAAAGACAGGCCCTGTCAGCAGTCTATGTGATTACTGCTTTGCTGCTGGAGACCTTTTTTAATGTTTCTTTTCTTCTCTCCCCCGCCCCTACCTTGATTTGGCTCCTACAGATACTGAGAATTCTACACTGCATGGATCCCAGTGAGTGGCTTCCCCAGACGGAGAGCTGTGTCCATCTCACCCCAAAGGAGTTCTTGATCTGGACCATGGATATTGCATCCAATGAACGGTTTGTCCCCCTGTGCAACCTCAGTGTGACATGTTGTGCCACAAGCCAGTCATATAACAAGCGAGAGCACAGTCCTCACCTGTGGACTCAGGTCCCAGGGTTCTGCTTGAGTCTCAGCCTAGGAGATATGTTCTAAGCTCAAACAATAGCATGGTGTCAGACTTTCACCTTAGTAGCAAAGAGTAATTACTTCGTAGAGCTGGAAGGCAAGGATTTCCTGCATTCACATCCTCAGGAATAACAACCTATCTGCAAAATCATCTGTGTAGAATATATGTTTGACTTCATTTCTGTGCTTTTTTTTTGCTTACATGTTCTAGGTCTGAAATTCAAAGTGTAGCGCTGAGACTGGCCTCCAAAGTGATTGCGCACCACATACAGACGTGTGAGGAGGTGAGACGGGTTCTGCCCAACCTGAACTCTGGGTTTTGTGCTCTCGGGTAGCTGGGAATTGTTAGTGAAAGCATGCCAACAGGCAGAACCACTGCGGCCTGCATGCCTCTCCACTTTGGATATAACCTGTGAAGAAGTTTTTCTCTCTGCACAGAAGTTAAATGCTTTAGCAGGGAGGAAGCTGTGGGAACACCCAAGGGAGGTCAGAGGTGAGGACAGTGTTTGGGGAGCTGAGGAAGTCTTCACAAAGAAGATTAAATTCTCGCTAACATCGTCCTTAGAAACTGCAGCTTTAAGCAAAATAACATCTAATAGTTTTCCACAGGCTAATGGAGACAAGCAAGAGTTAAGTTCTTCTGGCATATTTCTGGCCTTAAAAACATCACCAAATAGCACCCTCCTTAGTGGCTCAGCACTTAAAAGCTAAAGCCACTTCAGCATGAGTTTGATCCCCAGCCCTGGAGGTCACCCACATGGCATAGCAGGCCTCTCCTGACCCACCCGCTGCTCCCCTCATCAGTTGGCCTGTTCTGCTCCCCACTCTGTCTCTGGTGAACCCTCTCACCACCCCTGCACCTCTGGCCTGTCCCTCAGTTCTGTATGCACAAATAAATAAATCTTGAAAAAAACCAAAAATAAAAAAAGCAAACATCTAAAGATCGAAAACATTTCTAGAAGAAACATTCATTTATGTTAATTCATGCATTTGTTCATTTTTAATGCACTTATTGCAATTCAGTATCATAAGTAGCCAGAGCCTTTCACGGTAGTCAGGCCACGAGGTGGAAATCACCTATCCACATGCACCCACACTCACTGAGACACACTAATGAACCCAATGTTCTTGTCTTTGGGATGTGGGAGAAAACCCACACAGACATGAGGAGAACATGCAAACTCAGGGGTACTGGCCCAGCATTATTTTTGCTCATCAGCATTATAACAAAATGACAGTGAACAAAATGAAATTACTTGAGGGAGATGCGATAAAAATGTTCTACAGTGTTTTAAAATTGATTGTGATGGTATTTGCACCTATATGAGTATACTAAAAACCACTGGATTGTGTAATTAAATAGGTGAGTCATGTGGCATGTGAATTATATCTCAGTGAAGCTGTTACTGTTAAAAAGAAACAATAGCACTTTGTTTCAACAATGGTAGTTTGAATGCTGTTTTAAATGTGGTAACAGAAACACACAAACATAGTGGCTTACACCAGACGGAAGTAGTGCATGGCAGATAGGGCCACTTCACAGCGTGAAGCCCCTTCTACCTTGTTTTTCGACTCTTCAAAATGTAACTTCCATCTTACGATCCCAGCTAGTTGCTCCAGCTCTCACAATCTTGCCTTTATTCTGTGAGCAAGAAAGAGAAACCCAGGAAGTGAAGGTCACACCCAATTCATAAGACACACATAGCACTTTCAATGATGATGTCCCATTCCTCAGAACTCAATTATACATTACTTTCAAATGCAAGGGAAGTAGAGAAAGATAGTCTTTAGCTGGGTCCCTACTTACCTAACCAAAACTTGGTCACTAAAGATAGGAGGAGTACTGGCTCTTTATTTTTTTTTTTGAAGATTTATTTATTTATGCATAGAAGAGCTGGGGTGTAAGCCAGATGTGCGGGGAGGTGAAAGGATTCACCATTGACAGAGTGGGGAGCAGGACAGGCAGATCTATTGAAATACACTGAGGAGGAGAGCAGTGGGCAAGACAGGAGAGGTCTGACCCGTCTTCGGGTCAGCTGCCTGGTCAGGGATGGAACTTGTACTGCAGTGGCAGCCAATGGCTTCATAGTGTTGAGACAACCCCTTGTGCCATGAGGGAGCCCCCAAGAATATCTGGTCATTTGTCTTTACTGTAGCTACTGAATCCACCAGTGTCCTGGTAACTGATTTGTATCAGAAGAAATTCAAAGAAGCTATTCCCTAAGTACACTGCTCCTATTCGTAAAAGACAGGTCAGCTTTTCTTCCTTGGCCTTAGTTATCTCTCCCAATTTGGGATGGAAAAGCAACTTGTAAAAGCCTTCCCTCTCTCTGGGCATGGACCTAGTTTGTGGTGACATGGCTAAGCATAAGACCAGAATTTTCAGTGGGTAGGACCCCAGCATGGTGCCTCTCTCAGGAAAATGGTGAAGAAAATTGAAGTCAGCCAACACACCAAATACATTTGTTCTTTTCTGTGGCAAAACCAAGATAAAGAGAGAAGCTGTGGGGACCTGACTTTGTGGTTCTGCATAGAAATGGTGCCTGGACCTGCAATCCTACCCCACAGTGAAGTTGGCCAGCAACTTACTGAAGGAGTTGAGGGACCAGTCGGCGCTTCACCAGTTAAAGCATAGTTGGCCTGTATGGGTTAACTTACGCAATTTTTAAAAAAGGCAAGAGAAAAATCATCTTCCTACTTCAGTAAGAGCTAATTTGCAGGCCCAGGTTGGAGCAGCTCACCCCTAAGGCCGTGTCAGCCCATGGCTGCATCTTCTGAACTGCTGTCTACTTGTGCTTCCAGGCTGGGGACACAGTTGCCCCTGAGCTGAAGCAGTGGGTTCAGCTGGTCGTCTCGTCCTGTGGAGATCATCTTCCCACTGAGTCCAGGCTCGCTGCTGCTGAAGTCCTCACCAGTACTACACCACTTTTCCTCACCAACCCTCATCCCATTCTTGGTAAGTGTGCTAAGCAGGAAGAAACCTATTGTATCAAACTGGATGAGAGTGTGACTATAGACTTCAGGATAAAAATGACAGCATGCCCCATTCCTGCCTCTTTCCAGTATATTCCTGCCCTCTTACTTCTGCTACAGTCACCACCTGCCTCTTAAATGACCTGTTTTCATTCACTCTCATCTTCTGAGCATTCTCCTTACACGTCAGAAGAACCTTCGTGGTTTTTCTGAAATACAGACCTGAGCCTTTCACTCTATTGCTTAAAACCCTTCAGGGGTCCCCATTGCCTTTAGAGTAAAGTCGACAGGCACATTACCTGGCTCATGCAGGCCTTCTGTTCTGTTCCTTGTCCAGCCCTCCCTCCTCCTCGGTGGCCACTTTCCAACCCAGACCTTCTGTGTCATCAACAGGGAACAGTTCTCTGAACAAACCCCTTGATGACTTCTGTTTGTCTTTCAAGACTCAGCATAAACATCTCCTATTCTAGGAAGCCTGTTGCAATGATCTAAGTAAGAGATGAATCGGTGAATGGGTCAGTGGAAGGCATTTAGGAAGTAGTATCAACAAGTCTTGGTGGTGTTGGAGTGTTACTATGAAAATAAGGTTCAAGGATGACTTCCAGTCTTCTGGCGTAAGTGACTAAAGAGACTGCTGGTTCCTTTCACTGAATTTAAGCTCAGTAGGATGTAAATAAAGGTTAGAATAGTTTGAAATCAATGGATGATATAAATCTTAGCTGATTGCTGGCATGGCCTGCATCTGCACAGCTCTTTCCTCACACACTCCACTCTTCAGGAGTCATCATTAGGAAAGAACATGTGTCAATGATATTTGAGAAAACCAAGCTTTAGGAAAATCCTAGGAAATTGAAAAACCATGGGTGGTTGATTTTGGTTGATTTTGATACTAAATTTTTCAAGATTTTTTTTTTAAGATTTTTATTATTTGTGCATACAGAACTGGGGTACAGGCCAGAGGTGCAGGGGTGGTGAGAGGATTCACCAGAGACAGAGTTGGGAGTAAAACAAGCAGATCGACAAAGTACACTGATAAAGGGAACAGCAGGCGAGACAGGAGAGGTCTGCTGCGCCATGTGAGTCACCTCCAGGGCAGGGATCAAGCTTGCACTAAAGCAGCCATGGCTTGGCTTAGCTCCAACCCACTGCACCCCAGGGAGGGCCGAGATTTATTTATTTATGCATATAGAACTGGAGGTGCAGGAGTGGTAAGAGGCTTCACCAAAGACAGAGTCAGGAGTAGAACAAGCCGACTGACAAAGTACACTGCAGAGAGGAGGAGAGAGCTGGTCGGAGAGGTCCGCTGCGCCATGTGGGTCATCTCCCTGGCCAGGATTCGAACTTGTGCTGCAGTGGCTGTGGATTGCTTGATAGTGCTCTGCTTTACCCCTTTGCACCACCAGGAAGGGCCCTGAGTCTCTTCCATCTTAATTTAGTGCAGTTCTGCTTTGTTCACCTCTTTCTTGCCCAGTGCTAGGAAAATGCCATGGTCCCAGCTTCTGAAGAGCTTTCGATGGAGTTGTAGAGAAAGGGTTTCCAAAATAGAGGGGAAAAAAATGTCTTTTAGATAGTGAGTGAGATTCAAATTTCAAGTGTTAGAAGACTTCAAATCAATGAAGTGTCTCCTGTCCCTGGACCTCTCTGGAAAACAGAGTTGTCTTTGATATCCTTTAGTTCTCTCTTCTAAATGACTTCCAGACATGTTTCTTTAACCCAAAGGGAGGTTGAGGCAAATCTCTCAATTTATTGGATTTAATTAGACTAGGGGAATAAGAACAAAGGTTTATAAACTTTGGTGAAATGTCTCCAGTAAGGATAATACTATTTTGCAGGCCAATTTCTGGGTGACTTTTGCTGTTCTCACCCTAGCTCATTTCAGGCAAAATGTGTGTGGCATAACCTGGAATTTCTGAGTGAAACTGAGTCCTGGGCAAAAGCTCTTGCTTCATAATTAGTTGCCGGCGTGCATCACAGGCGGTAAAGAGGAAAGTCAGTCTCGTGGCTGATGACCTTCAAGAGCATGAAAAGCAGGTACAGAACTGAGAGACAAAGGGCGTAAAGGTGGATGGGACGCGAAGGACAACAAGGTCACTGAAGCAAACGAAAACATAAAAATGGACTAAAGAGGGAAAACTAAGGATCTGGGGAGAAGGCATCACCAAGTTGAAAGGAAAATATTTAACCCTAGAGAACAAAGCAAATGGATTGATTCTGAAACACTTGAGTAAAACTTAAAGCAGGGTCTGTAACAAAAGGGAGAAAATGAAACCCCAGAGGGAACCGTCGCTGTTCTTAGTATGACTAAAGCACAGACAAGTCATATAGCAGATTTTCCTTGGACAGATACAGGGGAGGGGAGGCCAAGGAAAGTTCTTAGGACAGGGTTGGATCCCCACTGAAGGGCCAGGGGTGGTGGGCAGTCCTGCCAGGCCCGCCCCTGCGCACACAAGCCTCGGCCCACCGGCCTGGACAGCATGTGGTCTTTCTTCACACCCTACCCGGATCTCACCTCCCGCACAAATTCCGCCTCCATTACACCGTCCATTGTGACCTTTCCCCATGGTGAGTCACAGATACACATCTCCATCCTGACGTATCGCTGCCTGGTATGTTTGCATTCAGGTTCCTTTTGGTTGCTCAGAAGCAGCACCATCCACACAGCACCTAGCAGAGAGGCCGGATGGTCCCTGGTCGGGGAACTGGCCGTCTGGTAGTAGGACACATGGAGACGTCACCCTGGCTGGAACCACTGTTGTGGTTCCTGGCCCTGTTTTGATTCTGGTCCCCCAAAACATAGTCTTGAGTTCAGAATTTATAGCCTCAAACAACCACTCAAATCAACACCAGTTTCCCCAAAGCACTCTTGATGCATAAAGCTTCATTCCTGAAAATGGTGAGTCATTGTGAGCAGTTAGGTCTTTGTTGGCCTGTGGGTGGTGGGGGTCTTGCCTAGGGTTGATTGCCTCCAGAAGCCATTCCCCCTCATAAAAACAAAAACCACTTCATAAAAACAAAAACCATGGCCCTCCCTGGTGGCTCAGCGGGTTAAAGCACAGCACTAAGAAGCTAAAGCCACTTCCGCATAAGTTTGATCCCCACCTGCCCCTGGAGGTGACCACATGGCGAGGCAGACCTCTCCTGACCCGCCCACTGCTCCCCTCAGCAGTGTACTTCGTCGATCTGCCTATTCTGCTCCCCACTCTGTCTCTGGTGAAGCCTCTCACCGCCTCTGAGCCTCTGGCCTGTACCCCAGCTCTGTATGCACAAATAAATAAATATTTAAAAAAAAAAAACAAAAAAACAAAAACCATTTCCGAACCTGCGGCCTTGGGGCCCTGTCTTTTCCAGTGTTGCTCTGACTCTGACACTCATACCTGTATTTCTTACAATACCTAGAAAAAAAAGAAATGATTTTTGCTCACTAAATACCACTTTTGTCCATCATGGATAGGAAGCAGGATCTGTACCTGGTGATAAATTGTGTTCTAGCCTAGGGGGTGGGGAAAAACCCTATACTTCTACAAAGGAAACTTCCAAACCAGTATTAACTCAATTTTAAAATTTTTTTTAAATAATAAGTAAATTGCATTCTAGGTAACCCGGAATTCCTTGTGTTCTTCTTAGGACTGCAGGATACACTCGCTCTTTGGAAATGTGTCCTCACTCTCCTGCAGAGTGAGGAGCAGACTGTCAGAGACGCAGCCACCGAGACCGTGACAACCGCCGCGTCACAGGAGAACACCTGCCGGTCCACAGGTACCTCTTCTTACCTGTTTGCATTCCTGGTTGCTCTAGGGCAGGGCTCAGCACTCTTTTTCTCTGTAAGAGAAAATAGCCACAGGGGAGTGGCTATTTTAGCTTCTGTGGCCTCGCATTTGGTCTGTGTGCCATCTCTGCTGTTCTAGGGAAAGGAACCATGAGCAACTGGTAAACAAGTGGACAGAGTTGTGTTCCAATAAAACTTTCTTTACAAAAGTGAGCTGCTAGATTTGATCTGCTAGTCATCGTTTTCTGACCCTTCTAGGACAACATACTGAAAAATTGTTTTCAAAGAGAGAAATCTAATAAACAGTGCCTTGTGTTAGTTATATTATCATCCTTTTCAAATAAGACCAGGTCTTGTTATCTGTGTCGTTACATAACCCAAGAGCCATCATTTTGTTCCTCTGTGGCTTTTTACATGCACTAGAAACAGTTACGTAGAAGTCAGCTCTCTTCTCTGTTCCTTGCTCCTTGATTGGTTGTGACTTTAAACTAGGAGGGAAGAAAAGCATGAAAAGAGGAACAGAGTCTTTGAGCTTCTACACTCTTCATGCGTCCATGAACTGTTACAGTGCTGGGCCCTGGTACATACATTCATGAGTAATACTAAAAAATCTGTGGCAGCAAAAGGCAGCTGCTGGTTGTGGGTGGAAATTGAGCTGCTGGATGGGGAAGACGGAGACTCAAAGTAAGGTCACGCCTCTGGACTGGTGGCATCTGAAAGGTCTCTTGGTCAACCTTCCAAAGGGAGACAAGAGCCCACTTGTTGGGCTGCAGGCTGGACAAAGAATCTTACCTTGATGAACACAGAACAGGAGGTGAACGAGCCATCCAATGTTTGTCACCAGTTTAGGGCTCCTCATTCCTGTATCTCAGGCCTGTGGTCCCTGGAAGCGTCCCTTGGAATGTGCGAATACCGCCATGTCTGAGTTCTCACTCATAACAGTCTGGGTACAACATGTCCTCAAATGAGGTGGTTTCATTCCTGGCCAGTGTGGAATGAAATGACGTTATTGGAGGTCCTGGTTTTGTTATACATCATTTTGCTTAAAGTCACCGTTTCCAAGAACCTGTTGCTGACATTAAATGAGGATTATTCTCTGCATTTATGGAAAAAACTGGTTTCTGAAAAATGTCTCAGTGATAACGCCAGGGCAGGTTTGGTCTTAGCCAGGATCGGCTCCTCCTCTCAATGGGAAACTTTGGGTGGGTGCGGAACTGGCAGCTCTCACCCCAGCCCACTCCCACCCTGCCAGACTCCTGGGGAGCCACGCTCTGCCTTGGTGATGCATTCCTTCTTCCACTTGTGGGTTTTCCTTGGGATACACAGAACCTCCAGCCATTGCTTGGTAAAATATTTGGTGGTTTGTCATACTTGGAAAACAGAAAACAGAATAAAACAAGAGATACTCGATTTCTCTAAGACCCTCTCCTCCAAGGATTGGAAAGAGATGAATTCAGTGGATTCCACAGGTGACTTCTCTCCTAGTCTCCCTACCTTACAGTCTTTGTCCTGTACTTACTGCTTTCAGGATTTTTCCAAATGAATATATTATAAAACCATGTTGTCATGATCTTCCTCCTAGTTTGGATATTTTTTCAAGAACTAGAACTGTAAATACCTTCTACATGCAAAACCCATTTTTGTATTTCTCATCTTAATCCACAAAAATTGATGTGATTGAGTTGTGAGAAAGATAAGAATTCTATAACAACCAAATGCAGTATGTTACCCTCACCAAACTCTACACTGAACGGGAGAGAAGTTGTACAGGAAGTTATTAGAAGAACTGACAACATCAGAATATTGTCTATAGATTAAAATCAATGTCAAATTTCCTGAATTGGTAACTGCTGTGGTTTTATGAGAGAATGTTTATGTTCTTAAGAACTACACTACTGAAATATTAAGGGGTCAAGAGACACCATGCCTGAACCTTACTTGCAAATGATTCAGGAAAAATAAAACTGTGTGCATATAGATGGTTCAACAAATATAGAGTTGCTGACCTTGCTATTTTTTTCTATATGTTTTGAAATTATTTCAAAGTAAAATATTCTTTAAAATCCTATTCTGTACCCAGAAAGACCAACACAGTATATATATTGATGAAATATCTTAATGGTTTATCATCAACAATCCCCAGCCATCTTTTTCCTAAATAATATGACCACATCTTTCTCTCTCTGTTTTAACTCATTTTGAGTGAAGTTTTGCATCCAAAAAATCAAACTCAAGCCAGATTCCTCAGATTTGAGGATCTTAGCAACATGAGGTCACTGGGCTGGGAGACCCACTCAGAGCCTCACTTGTGTGTTCTGCTTAACTGGTCACACTGCAACTGAACCCCCGTATCACAGCTTGGTCTTCCTAAGTACGAAATACCCATCTTCCACTTTCAATTAAAAAAACAGCTAAGGAATGAAGATCATTCCTGATTTCTCACTTCACTGAGAAGTCAGGTGATTCATCAGAACACTAGTCTTAATTTTGACATCTATCAAGGAATTTAAGCAGCTGATGGCATTTTGTAGAAACACAGCTAATGGTTTGCCTTTGGTGTTTTAAGTTAATTAGCATGCTTGAATTTTGAGTAGCTTGAAAATATATGTCATTAAGTATGTCCCCAATAATAAATGGCTTAATAAATGCCAGCGTTATATATATTAAATGATGTAAATATTTGATATCTTCATTGAGAAGATTAAATATTGTAAAAAATATATAATCAATTTTCCTCCTAACACATACACACACACACACACGGACTCCCTGCCCTCTGAGATCTCATCCTATGATGAGAGCTGAAGGGAAAAACAGAGTTTGCACTCATACCGTGAGATTAGAGCTGGCCCAAAGCAAGCGGTAAATGCGAGAGAGCATTTCAACACAGAAGGAAACGCCAAACCAAAACTTGGAGTTGAGAGGAAATTGGGAGTTGATTAGGGAAAAGCAAGTGGACTTATGTGGCCAGAACACACGCGAAAGCCAGGGAAACACATCTCACATGACCAAACAGGGCGGGAGGCCGGGTCACTGTGACATTACCCTGTGGCCCCATGGTCACCGCCCAGACAGCAGAGCCCCAACCTGTGAAGCTTTGGCACTTCACATTGAGTCACACACAGTTCCTCCCCCCACACACCCCCAACCTTTAGGGCTACCCACCAAGTCTTCCATGCTGTTCTTCACCCCTACACCCTCCAACCTTCAGGGAAGCCCTGTGCTTTTTTTAGATCTGGCAAGTTCTCGGAATCAGGTTCTGAAAGAAGGACTCTCTGAGTGTGGCCTCTCTTATTTCAAAGGTAGCCCTTTTTTAGGGGGGTTGGGGTGGGGGGTGGGTGTGGGTGCATATTATCTTCTCTTCCCCCATAGGCAGACTGACAGAAGTAACCTTCACAGGCTCTTCCCTGCTGCTTGCCCTTTAGTAGGTTTTTTCTTAATCTACTCAGATATATTTGCTGTCCTATAGTGCAGGAGCTGGCCCAGACCCAATTTTAGAAAGCTTTAAGTTCCCTAAGTGTCATCTGATCTGTCTCTGTCAAATATCTTTCTCTGCAGAAGAGTGGTCCAGAACCACTGTGCTAGAATGTGCCTTCATAACCATCTCCAAATCCCACCTAAGTTCCCCTTGGGGCAGGTTCAACTTTTTTTGCCTCTTTTATTTCTTTGTCCCAATTTTTAAATTCAAAATTGTTTTCTCTCCCCTAGAGGTTCCACAGCCTTTTCTCTCATGGTCTAAGTATGAGGCAGAAAGTGGTGAAAACTTTTCGCCTCAGACTTCCATTCATTCTTTTGTTCAGTCCACAAATAACTACTACCAGTCCACCTAGTGCGTGTCATGTTCTAATCCAACCACCATCATTTCTCACTCAACTGCTGTGAAAACCTCCAGTCCTGGGCCCTCCCCGGTGGTTAAAGCACAGCTCTACGAAGCTAAGCACAGCCACTGCTTTATGAATTCAAATCCCAGCACAGGAGGTGACCCACATGACACAACAGACCTCTCCTGTCCCACCTGCTGCTCCCCTCAGCAGTGTGTTTCAATCTGCCTGTTCTGCTCCCCCACTCTGTCTCTGGTGAATTCTCTCACCACCCCACCTCTGGTGTGTACCCCAGTTCTTGGGTGCATAAATATATTTTTTTAAACCTTTGTCTTATCCTCCGGCCTTTGCTCTTGTCTGCCTGAGACTTTACTTGATGAGAAGATCAAATGATGTTGCTCTTTCTGCTCAGAACTCTCCACTGGCTCCCTTCCTTGTCGGAAAATACCCCATTCCTAGAGTAATACACAAGCCCGACCTGACTCATCCCTCTCTCTCCTTCTCCAACCTCATCCCCTACTATGCCTTCTCCCTCTCTGTTCCAGTTACCTCAGTTTTCTTCACCTCCCCAAGCTCATTGCAGCACCCAATGCTCCCTTTTCAGCTTGGAGTGTTCTCACAGGGCTGAGACCTTGCCCTTTTGGTTTCAGTTCCTGTATGACCTCTACATGCTACCTGCCTTGACCACTCAGTTTCTCCTCACCACCCAGTCATTGGCTACCATTTCATCTGCTGGTTTAATTCCCTGAATAGTTCTTTCATCATCTTATCCTTTTACTATTTATTTACTTTGCGACTTGCCTCCTTCCACTGAATAAAATTTCCAAGAGCATAGGATTTTTGTCTGTCTTGCTTGCTGCTGTATTCCCATAATATAGTACATAACAGATGTTCAACAAAATCCCTATTGGATGGTCAGTTGGATGAAGGAATGGAGGACTTTAGTACAGCTATTAAACTCAATATTCTGACAAATAAGCTAAGGTGGGGGAGGTGGAACTGTTTGGATGTGTGCTTATAAATTGTCCAAAGGTGGTGGATGATTGGTAGATCAAACCAGCTAATGGGCCTCATATTTTCCTAAAAATACTAATTCAACAAGGCATTTTGTGAGTCTTCACAGAGGCAGAGCCACTGAAGCAGACTCTAGAATAAACTCCACCCCTTCC